AAATCACGAGCGTGCGTCATAGCGGTAAATGACATTAAATTTCGAAACAAATCAAAACCTTTTCAACTAATGTAAAGTTTACAAAATATATATCTCGCAGTTTCCATTTCCATGTTTATTAGGTGTCGGAATATGGAATTTATGGCCCACCACCACCCCGGGGAGGGGACGTTATCGAGATTGAATTACTTTTGGCAATTTGTAACGGTCGACGCCCTCGCCGATAAAATTTTCCAGCACAAGGGATGGTTCCAAGAACTACCTACATGAGTAGTTGAGGAAAATATTTATCTAACCCTTCGGCTTTCTCTAATTACACGCTACGCTAAAAATAAACAAACCGAAAATGTTAACAGACTTTTTTTCATAAACAGAAAAACACGACTGCGCTCCAGTTTCTCCCTGCTTAATGTGTAACCATAAAAAAGTAAGAGTCCCCTTTTTAAGGAAATCAAATAAGTAGAATTACATTTGCGCCATAAGGACGCACTTACGGATTAGACCTGCGTTTGACTTGGCGCACGCGTCCTGCCAGGATCTGTTAAAGAACCCCCGGCAGGCAGCTGCCAAAAAAATAATTCCTCAAAGGGCTGCTGTTGACTTCGTTACCCATCATCACCATCCAACTGGTTTCCAGTTGGTGGTCTTGTTAAGTCCTCGTTGATCCGTTTGTAAACCCAACGGAGTGAGTCCAAAACAAACAAAGCACAGAGTCAACCCTCTGCGACTTCTTTGATATTTATTAACTGGGGGACAGAGTCCGGGAAGCAGGAACTGTGCCAAAAAAAAAATACTTTTATAAGTCGTGTCTTGAGTTATGATTTCTGTTTGCGGGCAATATTTATTCAAAAGCAAGAAGAGAAACCCCCGGAAACCCCTCTGGGAAATGTTTATTTTGCCATAAGTTCTTATCAAATTAAAAATTCCGTTATGAAAAAAGAGACCACAAAAAAATATATGGTTTGTATAAGCGAAAGTCAGCAAAACGCTGGCCAAGTATAAACATTAACCCGGATTAATTACGATAATAAACTATCATTTTCACCCAAAACACGAATCCGAACCCGAACCTGAATACACGCAGTTCCACACAAAAGAATCAGCGACCGGAACTGAACCCGGCATATCTCTTGGAACTGTGTAAAAAAGAAAGTACGTGTGGTATCTATGTACATATATGTATAAAGGTGATATAATCGTATAAACAATAGCAATCAGAATTTTAAAAAATCTGATATTTTACTTAATGTATAGCCATTAACATGGCACAAGTCCAGATTGTTTATCTGGTTTTGGTTACAAATGCGATTTTGTTGTTTAGGAATTAAATGCAATCAATTAAATCTTATGGATAAGCATATTTTCTGGAATTCTGCAAAATGGTATAGCAGATCAAAGAAAACTGAAATTGATATTTTATCTTATTTAAGCTTATAAGTAGCAAAGTAAGGAATATATAAATAAAACTCTAATAATAAAATGAAATATATCTGGTAACTTGTGCTATTCTTTTTTTTCTGGTTATAATGACCTATACTCCACTGTCAGATCTCCGAATTAAGCTCAGCGAAGCCGGCTCACCCATTAATTCTCGATGTTCGAATGCAATCAACGCTGATTGCAATTTGTTGGCTCCCATAAACCATGTTTGACGTTTTCCCAGAGTGAATTATGTATGCAGAAAAATAATCTTCAAATAGGGTATACATATATGTTGTATAAGATATCTGCGTGCTAAAACTTAAGCAATATGCTGTCACAAGAAGTCACATGTCACAGTGTCTTCTTTGCTTCTTCTGAGTCTTCTCTTCTGCTCGTTATAGTTGAGCGCGCTTGGTGAGCTCAGCATAAACATAAACAACAATGACATATATACACTTACATATATATACCTACATATATCCAACAAAAATAAAAAAAAAACAACCATGATGGAGACCTTATTTGGCATTGGCGTGGGCGAAAATGAAACGAAAGACTTTTGCGTGACGGCGACAAACGCATAAGGCACACACACACACACACACACGCGCAGAAGAAGAGCGGAAGAGCTGAGCAAGCTTTCGTATTTCAATTTATAGCTGTAGTTCCCCATTTTCTACCGTTAAATGTGCTCCAACATTACAGTTTTAAAACTGTGTTCACTTACATATAAAATGGTACTTTACAGAATTTTATAATAGGTGGGAGAATAGTATAAACTAACATATGTATACTCGATTTTCTAAGTTTCTTATTTCATTGGACAAATTATTTTCAGCCTTTAAAGCCTAGCTTGAGTATGTTTAATGTTCTAATTTCTGTCATAATTTTAGAGTAGGAAACTTGAGACACTATAAATTTTTAAAGCTCTAAATATTATAAAAATTACGTCTTAAAAACTCTTGCTTTTAACTTACAAACTGGATTGTTATACAATTTGAAGATTTATATATAGGAAAACAAAATATATTTCAGCTAAAAGTCATAAAATCATTATTAACAAAAAAACTTGAATTATGCTTTCCAAGCTCTTAGTGTAGCGTCTCCATGGAGGTCACCTACGCACTGAAATTCCATATCTCTCCCTGAGTGTTGCATTTTACACGCAATTCCGTTGCAGATTTTTTTCCTCTTTGGCATTCCATATGAATTTTTAATATATATGTACATATGTGCAAACATACCTTATAAATATAAATGTGTACATATATTTTTGCATTTGGGGTCGCGGTCGCGTGTCGCCTCGGAGTTGTGCCACTTAAGTGCATGTATTCTTTTTGTTTTGTTTTCGGTTTTATTGCATTATGACATTTATTTATGGTCGTTCTCCCACTCGGACTGTGGCATAGAGTGCACGTGCAGGCTAAATGGAATTGGGGGAATACCACTTGGTGGGTGTTAATGGCGTGCGAAGGATACTGGCCGGCCTCACCTATGGGTTTCATCTTTAATGTGACTATCACTATCCTATCAGCTCCCGTTCCACACGTCTGGGCTCTCATGTTGTGCACTTCCGCCAGCCCCTGCCCCGGGTTACCTGGCAGAGCCGCAGAGGTTTCCGGGCATATGTCACGTTTGTTTGCTTGCCAGCAGGGAACAGGAGCGGGTTATGTGCTCCATCATTTGATTCTCCTTCGTGATCGAGAACCAAGACCCAAGTCTAAAAGTGCGGAAAAAATACACAGGGAAAACAGCAGAGTTGATAATGTATTTATAGTAATAAAGAGGTATATTTTAAAAATTCTAAAATATTAGATAATATCAAAGCAAGCTTATAAATAAACAAATCACATCAGAATCCGTTTGTTTACTCTTCCTGGTATTAAACCTGAAAGCTCCAGCTCGCAGATCTAGAGTTCTCCGATAGCACCTTAAATTTTCCAATATCCTAGTGAAATGATAGAAATATCCATTCCTAATTGAATTTGATTTATATAGAAATTTAAAATATGAATTTGATTTATAAACTTTTACATTTTGATGTGTAAAAAGTACGACTTAATAACTGTTGTTAACTATTCTCTCAGTGTGCCATGTATACATGGAGCTGAAGTTTTAAATGCACCAGGTGTGATTCATGGCCCGCGGGTGTGATAAATTGCATGTTACAAATCAAAAGGGCAATAACAACATGGCTTATGGAATGCGTCAGACTTGGTTTCACCTTCCCCTACATATACCTCATATAATACTATGTATATATTTTCACCCATTTTTACCCCCAACCAATCTCTCAGCAAGCTTTATCGAGAACGCAAAACTTGCGTAATGCAATTAAAATACTTGTAAGCAAAACTGAACAGAGCTCTCCGCCCTTGACACAGTCCATTCACAATACTCGGCGGGGCAGGGGAAGGCGGGGGAGGTGTGTGGGAGGGTCCAAGTCTGTAATTGCCGCTCAGCTGCAAAACAATTTCAATTCATTCAAGCCGAGCTCGTAAACCTAATTAGTGATCACGATCATCAAAGAAGCGACGAGAGATGCAAAGTGTGAATGGCGAAAGAAAATTATAGTCTCAATTATAATTCAGTGTCAATGCAAAAAATAAAGATAGGATAGTGTCACGTGTAATTTGTCTGGCAGATAATTATATATTATATTCAACCATTGGTACCTGTGATCCTATTTCCCTTGTAAATATACCCAAAAGAAGAGCTTAGAAACTCTGGTAAGAACTCCCTATGCTTATAGTCTACAAGCCATTTCAAGATCGGGTATATCCCACTTCTTCCTGGTCCCCACACATTCCTCAGGCTATCGGACATTCCAATCTCAGCCCGGAGCTTTACGAGTCCATTAAGACTTCGAGATCCAGATTGTGACAGGCAACATAGGCGCCTTCGTAAGCAAGTTATTTTTATTAAAGCCCATATACACATATGAAATTATAGTCAAGTTTAAAATATGCAAAAGAAAGAGTCAAGATAGACTTTCAAGAGAAAACAACAAGGCAAGAGCTGCAGTAAACTTGGAAATATTTTTTTGCATAAACAAGGTGCAAGATAAAAAATCAACAGAGTCTCGACAGTCAGTTAGTCAGCAGTTGGCCTGGCTTGAACGCTGCAACGGGCAACTTGGGTAAACTTGAAAACTGGAAAACGAGTGGAGGAAAACTGGTTTTCAGAGTCGCCAAAAGCCCAAATAATAAAATGGAAAGAAAAGGCAAAGAAAAGACGGGCCATAAGCGTAAATGCTGGCAATCAAATGCGGCCTGGCCATTCGGACAAAAGAGGTCAAAGTTGATCATGTGCCACAACTGGAAATTACTATCATACAAAAAGCACCTCTCAAAGAGGAAAGGCAAAGGTGACAATGCTATATTCTACTTAAAAAATTCTAATGTACTTTATGATGAACAATAATAGTCTAAACAACGTAAAAATGATAAACTATTTAATTTACTGGGAATTTGTTTCGTAATTACTAGATGAAATGTTCTGGGCAAATCGAATCAATTCTTTAGGCATATTATTTCTGCTTATTTTTGCCTTAATAACAAATAGTATAGAATTGGATTTAGAAGTGCCAACATGTTACTGGAATTTCTGATCCTCTCGCTGATCCTTTCAGCTATAATATGTGTCCTTCTGGACAGGCACTACTCTTACTGGAAACGCCTTGGAGTGCCTGAGATCAAACCCAAGTGGATAGTGGGTAACCTGATGCCACTGCTCATGCAAAAGGGTTTCCCGGAGTTCATGTACCAACTGTATAATCATCCGGATGCCAAAAACGAACCCTTTGTGGGCATCCATATGTTCCATGAGCCTTCCCTGCTTATCAGAGATCCGGAACTGGTGAAGAACATCCTTGTCAGAGACTTTGGAAAATTCTGCGATCGTCACGCGAACACTGATCAAAGGCACGATCCCTTGGGATCCCATAACTTATTCTTCCTGAAGAATCCTGCCTGGAAGCAGGTGCGAATGAAGCTATCACCGTTCTTCACTGGCACCCGGCTGAGGCAAATGTTCCCGCTGATCGAGGAGGTGGGTGCCAGCATGGATGCCCATCTTCGCCAGCAGCCGCTGGACGACGAACATTTGGGAAGCTTCGAGCTGGATGCCAAGGAGTTGTGTGCCCTCTTCACCACGGATGTGATTGCCACCGTTGCCTTCGGAGTGCGGGCGAACAGTTTCAAGGATCCCAATGGAGACTTCCGACGACATGGACGTTCCATGTTCAAGTTTAGTCTTCTTCGGGCTACGGGGATTACCGCAATCTGCTTCCTGCCACACCTTATTTCCTACTCCGGATTCAACTTGCTTTCCGCTGAGGATGCTCGATTCATGCGCAAAACCATCAAATACGTGATGGAGGAGCGCGAAAAATCTGGAATACCACGCAACGATCTCATCGACATCCTCATTGAGTTTCGAAGGAGCGCACTGGAGGCGAAAGCTTCGGGAATCGGGAATCAGTATGAGTTCGAAAACGACTTCCTGGTGTCGCAGGCAATCCTATTCTTCACAGCCGGCTTTGAAGCCTCCTCTTTCGGCATGGCCATATCCATGTATCAGTTGGCCAAGGATCCTGATATCCAGGAGCGATTGCGAGACGAAATCAAGGAGGCTCTGATCGAAAGCAGTGGCCAGGTGACTCTTCAAATGATCGAGTCGCTGGAATACTTACAGATGATCCTGAACGAGGTGGAGCGCATATATCCGTCGCTGGTGTTCCTGGAACGTGAATGCACCTCCGACCAGGCCTACCCGCTGGAACCCTTCAGCAAGATGCGGGTGCCCAGGGGAATGCCAATCTACATTCCCTTGTATGGCTTGCAATTGGATCCCCAGGTGAGGCTTCCTATAAATTCCTATATAAGTCCCATAACTAAAGCCTGTCTCCCTTGGCCAGTTCTATCCTGAGCCAGAGAAATTCCAACCGGAACGGTTCGCCCCGGAAAACCGAAAAAGCCACAATCCCTATACTTACATGCCCTTTGGCAACGGCCCTCACAGATGCATCGGCGAACGTTTTGCCTATATTCAGGCCAAGGTGGGTCTGGTCAACATACTCCGCAATCACCGGATAACCACATCGGAGCGCACACCGCAGAGCATACAGCTGGATCCCAAATCGATTTTGATGCAGGCCAAGGGAGGCATTCCTCTACGCCTCGTCCGTGATCCTTTGGGTGTCTGATTAAAAAACAACAAAATTAAACTAACTTTGAGAAGCCTTGCTGTTACCCATAGGATTGAATGCCAAATCGACCATAACTAAGTCAAATATGCATTAATCTCAATTTGAAAGACTAATCTGGGTTGGCTTTTAATAGTTTATTATTTTGTCTGTTTTATTTTAATGTTTTAAACTTTATACTATAAAATTTTGATTGCAAATAGAAATACATATGACTTTTGGCAACCATAGGCTTTTTGATAGCCTAAACTATTCGTATTCTAGGTATATTTACACGATATTTTTATATGGTAATTTGTAGGGTAATTCAAACTTTTTCAAATATCATAACTATGCCAAAAATGCATTAATTTTAATTCGGGAAGCTGTTCTATGTTAGTTTTTATTAGGCTAATAAAACTGCATACTTAGTTTAGAATTTTAAAAAATTTGATTTTTTGTACATTTTTGAGAATTTTAACGATGTAACCCCTTATAAAATTTTGCAAAATTTTGAAAATTTATTTTTTGACCGGGCATGGCTAGATCGACTCAGCTATTAATGCTGATCAAGAATATATATGATTTATAGGGTCGGAAATGACGCTTTCACTAAGTTTAAGCCTTTAGACTTAAATTATAACACCCTGAGAGGGTAGAAAAAAGTCTTCGCCTTAAGCTAAATCTAGCATACATGGCGTATACTTAACGTGAAAAACCTTAAATTAAGTATACGCCATGTGTGTCTTAAGGGCGAGGAGCTTACAAATTTAAAAAGATAAGTAGTTCAAATTAAAAAGCAAGTTTGGCTATTCTATTATAAGATTGTATCCGGAAATTGATCATATTTAGCTTCCAATGCCATTTTTTTTGTTAATCAAAGTTGAAAAAACTCATTACTCAGCCAAAAATGTATTAATTTTAATTTGGAAAGCATTTCTATGTTAGTTTTAATTAGGTAAATAAATCTGCATACTTAGTATACAATTTTCAAACATAACAAGAAAGGAAATTAACTTCGGTACGCCGAAGTTTATATACCCTTGCAGATAGAACTTCTATGACTAGGAATCCCTACAATATAAATTATATATATTTATGATTAAAAACAAGCACACAGCAATATAAATTATATATATTTATGATTAAAAACAAGCACAGTTCACAGATTTGCATTTTTCCTCTACATCAAACGATCGTTTGTATGGCACAGTCGTCCGATTTTCATGAAATTTTACACAAAATTTAAGACTAATATAAAATGGCTACACCTCAAACTTGATGAAAATCTGTTGAAAACTGAAAATGTTCTAATTTTTTTGTTAAAAATTTCCGGTCATTCCAATGGCAGCTATATGATATAGTCGTCCGTTCCGACATATATACGAGTGAGAGTATATAGAAGGCTAACTACAAAGTTTCATTCAGATAGCTTCAAAACTGAGAGACTAGTTTGGGTAGAAACGGACAGATGGACAGACGGCCAGACGGATAGACAGGCATGGCTAGATCGACTCGGCTGTTGATCCTGATCATGAATATATATACTTTATATAGTCGGAGGTGCCTCCTTCACTGCGTTGCAAACTTCTGACTGAAATAATAATACCCTGCAAGGGTATAAAAAAAGAAAAGGAAACAAACAAGAAAAAAAAATCCTAAATAGGCTTATATTAGCAAGCTGAAAATCCTTATTTTTTGAGCGGATTTTTGTGTGAAGAATTACTTTTGCAAAAATTATATACAAGCATTACTTGAAATATGTTAACTTTCTGTTATTTAAAAGCATACCAATTCTTAAAAATTGGCTTTACAAATATAGATCAACTTATTTTAATATATATATATATTATATTGAGCAGTTTCGATCATCACCATTGTTGTGTTCTTTGTTTAGTAAGTTGTGCTGAATAAACTATTTTCGGGAGTTAAGTATACTTTACTATAAACAAATAAATGACACCATATCCCCGCTCGTCATGATCATCACGGCTCTTAAAGAGAGCTTGGAATACTTTTCGAGATCAATAATAAGCTAGTCAACACGGCCAAGGATATGGTAATTAAACAATAATTTAATATAAACCATATTTTCATGTATCTTGACTTTTTTGGGCCTTGTTTTGGTTTCAATTATCAAGAGATATTTTATTAACGTCTTACCTTAATTAAGAAAACTATAATTTTTATGATTGCCACATCCACTTGATCAAAGTCTATCAACCACCAAGCACTAGATTAGTAATTTATATAAAAAACACACAAAAAGAAGAAGAAAACTAAACTTCCTCTAGCTAGGGCCTTGCTTAAGTATAAGAGTTGAGAATCGCAGAGGAGAGCGCTCTATGTACCAAATAGTTAAACAAAGTCTATCTTTCAGTCGAAAGCTTGAAACTTAGTGATGGAGTCATTTCCGATCCTATTATTCATATATATTCTTGATCAGCATCAACAGCCGACTCGATCTAGCCATGGTTGCCACATCCACTTGATCAAAGTCTATCAACCACCAAGCACTAAATTAGTAATTTATATAAAAGAAGAAGAAGAAAACTAAACTTCCTCTAGCTAGAGCCTTGCTTAAGTGTAAGACTTGAGAATCGCAGAGGAGAGCGCTCTATGTACCAAATAATTAAGCAAAGCCTATCTTTCAGTCGAAAGCTTTAAACTGAGTAAAGGAGTCATTTCCGATCCTATTATTCATATATATTCTTGATCAGCATCAACAGCCGAATCGATCTAGCCAGGTCCGGCATAAATTTAATTTTTTCAAATTTTTTGACAATTTTAAATTTTTATAAGGGGTATCGTTAAAATGGTGAAAAATTGACGAAAATTTGAATTTTTTTAATTTTTAAATTGAGTATGCAGATTTGGAACCTTAATAAAAACTGAAATTAATGCATTTTTGGCTTAGTTATGATATATTTAATATTTGACCTCTTAATACATAGCTAACTTCAAAGGTATTAAGAAAATTATTCATGTTTTTTTTTGTATATAAAATAAGTTTTTAATATATGATTAGTGTACTTACCTTGAACTTCTATGAGTAGTAATCCCTACAATATAAATTATATATATTTATGGTTAAAAACAATGAAGCAACACCTGTTTTCACTTCATTCACCTAAACATATTATATTTGCAGTTCACAGATTTGCATTTTTCCTCTACACCAAACGATCGTTTGTTTGGCACCTATATGATACAGTCGTCCGATTTTGATGAAATTTTACACAAAATTTAAGACTAATATAAAATGGCTACACCTCAAACTTGATGATGATCTTTTTAAAACTGAAATAGTTGTAATTTTTAATTGTATTAATTTCTCGATCGTTCCTATGGGAGCTATATGATATAGTAGTTCGATTTTCATAAAATTTTACACAGAATTGTAGAGTATAATAAAATGGCTATATCTCAAATTTAATAAAAATCTGCTGAAAACTTTATAATTTTTTTTTGTCAAAATTTTCCGATCATTCCTATGACAGCTACATATATGATATAGTTGTCCGATCTGGCCCGTTCCGACATATATATGAGTGAGAGTATATAGAAGGCTAACTACAAAGTTTCATTAAGATAGCTTTAAAACTGAGAGACTAGTTTGCATAGAAACGGACAGACGGACAGAAGGACAGACGGACAGACGGACATGGCTAGATCGACTCGGCTGATGATCCTGATCAAGAATATATGTATATACTTTATATGGTCGGAGGTGCCTCCTTCACTGCGTTGCAAACTTCTGACTGAAATTATAATACCCTGCAAGGGTATAAAAATTTGTGTACATTTTTCACAGTTTTAACGATGTAACCCCTTATAAAATTTTCAAATTTGGAAAATTTTTTTAAAATTTATTTTTCGACCGGACATGGCTAAATCGACTCAGTTGTTAATGCTGATCAATAATATATATGATTTGTAGGGTCGGAAATGACTCCTTTACGTGTTACAAGATTCTGAATAAAACTATAATTCTATGAGTCGATATTATTTATATTTTTATGTGACAATTTCTTCAACAAATCAAATTTTAATTCAGAAAGATGTTCTATAGAGACAAAGAGAGACAGGGAGACAGAAAGGGAGACTTGTTACTATTTTGGCAAACCGCTAAAAATTAGTAATAGTATGCTGTTCCTCTCATTGCTCATATTCACTACGTGGATGACATACCGTCCCATTATCCAGGCCCATATAGGCGACAGACAGGGCCAGTTGGTGCCGGCTAATCCCATCGAGACACTCATAAATACCCCCGGCTTGACACTAATCAGACTCCGGAGTTTTGTTTTTTGCTCAGTTTGCTTGTTTACCCGAGCACTTAACCGCCGGAGACGGAGACGGAGGATCCCCAGTCCAGATTCGTGTATAAATAGCGATCGACAGACGGCGCTAAATGCAAACTCCGGCGCACTTACAGCATCTTGGCTTCTCAGCCTCATCCTCAGATAAGGGAGAAAAATCACAATGTTTATTTTTGGATTGGCGATGCACTTCAGTTTATGATTTGCCTAGTAAACAATTTTCAGATTCAGTAATCTTCAAGGAAGCGATATGGTTGAGGAAGTGTTTAGGGATAAAAGATCTTTGTTAATATATAATCTCTTTTGAGAAACAAAAAACCTTTGATTCTCATGTTTAATATAGTTTCTTGAACCACATTCAAAACAAAGTGGATACCCTATCTATAATCATTAAAATTATACACCTTGTGGTCTTTTTGAGTGTTATTTATGGTAAGTACAACATGTATTGTCTGGCTCCGTGGGACTATGACTCGTTCTTGCCACTTATTTGGCTGTAATGAAAGTTTTGGGCTAATTTATGGGACATGCACGGAGCCGTTCACCAATTTCGTTCTGATGTCACTCGCACGTGAATTTCAATGGCCCGTCGTCTGTCATCATTCAAATGGCAATGGACATTAAGTCAAATCAAATTGCCCAAAATAGACAGGGCGTGTTTGCGGCCATCGCTGGCGTATTTCGGTAGCTTCCCTTTTCCGAAATTTAATTGGAATTGAGGGAATCTGGAGGCTGGAACTTGGCATCGCCACCGTCAACTAAATTAGCGCCAAAGTAGGCATTAAAATTTTATGACGGACAAGTAAACAAAAACTCGCAGATGCATAAGGTGCCACTTGGCTCTGCGACACACCCCACCGTGTCTCTCCCTGTCCTCGGAATCCCCACCCCTGCTCCGGTTCCGGGTGTCGTTTAATGGGCAACTGCAACCAAAGGCGGAAAGCGCCGCCGGAAGAT